TAACCTTTGAATTAAATAGTAAAGAAACTTTATTATCGCAATATCGACTTTTTATACGCTGAAGAGAATCGATCCAAACTTTTTTTCTGAATAGCTTATTGAATGAATGTACGGGCAGCATGCCACTATTCGCGCCAAAATGCGAAAAGTGATTTGAATAAAGAGATACTTTGCCGCCAGTACATTCATTCAATAAGCTATTCAGAAAAAAAATTTGGACCGATTCTGTTCAGCGTATAAAAAGTCGATTTTGCGATAATGGATCACCATCTTCAAAACCTTATATGCTGTCATTTCCAGCAAAAACGGAGAAGAAAAAAAAGTGAAAAAGAAACATCGCCATATAGTAGATTTGAAGAATCGGTTAATGAATCTGAGGCATTTCCTGTACAGGTAGTTTAGACTAATAGACTATATTATTGATCTCACGAGGGAACTTCCCGAGGTGATAAATCGCTTTTTGATCGACATCTAGTGGATTATAGGTTATCGACCATGCTGATTCCGAATATGACCATGGGGCATAGCTCTTCAAAGATCCAGTCTTCTGGAAAACCAGTTTTTCAGAAACCTCAAAAAATAATCCAAGTGTTTCTTAACAATTCAGAATTGTAGCGCGCAAATTTCTGATTAAAATGGAACATCCCCCAGCTCTACACGACCTTTCTTTGCAAAGTCATAGCGTTTTTAAGAAGAGCCCTAAATTAATTTTTTCCTTATTTCTGTAGCTTTGAGCTGACAATGAACAATTTAGGGCTCTTCTTATAAATTCTATAACTTTGCAAAGAAAGGTTGTGTAGAGCTGAGGGATGTTTCATTTTAATCAGAAATTTACGCGCTACAATTCTGAATTGTTAAGAAAGGTTTAGGTTACTTTTTGGGGTTTCTGAAAAACTGGTTTTACAGAAGACTGGATCTTCGAAGAGTTATGGGGAAGCCCCATGGTCATATTCGGAATCAACATGGTCGATAACCTATAAGCCACTAGATGTCGATCAAAAAGCGATTTATCACCTCGGAAGGTTCCCTCGTCAGTGTGTAGAACCAGACGGTTACTTCCCAGTGTGTATTTTACACATCTACGCCGTGCACTCTAGATAGTTACTGGGAATCGACTACAGCTAACACTCAAATAGAGTTTGAGCAAAATCGAATCTTTTTTTGAAGAAATATTTTTCCAAAGCCGTATATGGCGAAATGTCGTAATTTATGTGCCATGTTAAAGAGAAACTACGAGAATGCATCAGTGTTTCAAAACATATCTCAGACTACAAAGAGACACCCGTCTCCTGCTCTCATGATAACCTTGAGTTACTTGACTTAGATGTTAACTTCATATTCATTCATCATCGATGTTAAATTGAAAAATGCGTAGATACATACCAGCAGCAGAAGTAATATTAACAACCCTTGAACCAGGTTGATTTACAAGTAATGGTAAAAATGTTTTTGTCATTTGTACATGTCCAAAAAAATTAACATCCATCATACGACGATAAAAATTCATTGAAATCCAATCGATGAGACCACCTTTACCAATACCAGCATTATTGACCAGAGCATGCAGACAAGGTGTTTTTGACTGAATCAATTTGAAACACGACTCGATATCTTCAGATTTTGTTACATCCAATTTGAATATCACTGCTCGTTTGGATAACTGTTTTTTCAACTGTTCAATATTATCTTCAAGATAAACACCAGCTAGGATATTAAATCCGTGTTGATCTAATTCAACAGCAAGACTTTCACCAAAACCTGTATCACATCCACTAATCAAAACATATTTTCCCTTTGAAGCAACGTTAGGCGGTGGATACAGATATCGATATAAACGATAACCAATGTAGATTATCCCTATTAAACCGATGTATTCAAACATTTTAAGGTCCTATTCTTCTCTTGTTCAATTTATAATCTTTCGTACTCTTTATGTTTTGTGACTTTTGTTTTAACTGAGTGAAGGACGTTATCTTATGTTAATACTGAATCATGAATACAGAACAACGCAAAACAAAAAATGACACACGTGAAGTTTATTTCTGTTCTTCGTTCTGATCCTTGTGAGATCATCAAGCTTTTCCAGAGAAATTGATATGAGAAGTTTATGTCCTCTTTCAGAATACACAATTTTTGAAACTGCTAGGTTGGCACTAAAAACAATATTTTTATCAAAAAGTGAGACCTTTTCGGTGTGCAAAATTATAGGTTCGGTAGAATTTTTTTTGTTTATTTAGCCCGTTTAGAGGACGTGCAAAGTTTAAATATTTATTCAGCTAGCTAGACTAGACGTGCAAAAGTTCACGTTTCTTTCCTTGAATGTGAACGCTAAAGCACTGGTGAACGTGTGCTTTTTTTATACGAACGGTGTTCACATTGTCTGAAGTAAATATAAACTTCTTGTACTGTAGTATGAACATATATATTTCTGCTTGGTCTTATCTGATCCAAAGAAACTCTAGTGAAGGATCAGTTGGTCTACTGAGGGCAGCGACCAGATTAGTGCAATGTAAAAAGGATTATCCTTTAAGGTATTACCCCTTGATTCTCTGATCAAGACATTAATTCTTCCAAGAACAGATCGAGGATTTCCTGACTAGAAGACTAGTTTTTCCGGTACTGGAACCGAAGCTCCTTGGTCCTATTACAGTAACTACATACGTTTTCCTTTGTCATCGTAATCCATTTGGGACAGACGAGCGTCGATTTTTCACTAAATATAACTGGTAATGGAGAAAACTGTTTCACTTGATAACTAGGTGAAATTGCTATATAACGTTTTGCAATACTGTTCATTCCACACAAGATCAACACTGTTCATATAAAGTAAAGTTAACGTTCACCAGAACTAGATACAACCATTAAGTACATTTTTAGAAAAAATTAAATTTGACCGCGGTGCCTCGCTATCCAGGTGCTCCGGATCAACCGAGAAGACACTAGAGTTTATTAAAACTAAAACTACGCAAGATTGTTAAGTGGAAAAACTTTTCTGATGATGAACAGTGTTGATCTTGTGTGGAATGAACAGTAT